AGGCCAGAGGATGTTCTGGAATCCAAAGGGGAACCTCAGCTGAGTCAGTGCTGCCCCGAGAACGCTCCTCAGGACATGACTCAGAAAAACAGCAAAGTCTGGGAAACCCTGGAGCTTCTGGTCTCTTTACTATTAGTCAGGGGACACTTGGTGAACGCTTAACTGTGCGCCAGGCACCAGGGCGAGCGCCTCCTGCATGTCCACTTCTACACCATCCTCAACAACCCTAAGAGGGCTGTAATACAGTGAAAGGACTGCTGTACCTGTCACCATGATGTGGCCCCCAGGAGTTACAGTGACTCCTTGGGGCCAGTGCTGACCTGGATTGAAGCTTCTGGTATCATCTGTGCTGTATTTCCAAGAGGAACACCGMACTCAGCCTTGCCCCAGGCCTCTGGGCAACCCCTGGAGCAGCCTGTGGTTGCAGAACACTCTGGGGAAACTGGCCTAGAGGGTATGATCAGGTCACAGGGTTCTGGGCTGCAGAGCTGGAAGCCCTACCCAACTATGAGGATCAGGATGGCGTAGCGAAGCATGCAAACCAGGGACAGTCCGCAGGAAGGCAAGTGAGAACCCAGGGGACCTCCATGGATGGCCTGGGGGCAGCTTCCGGCTGGAGGCAGGGAACAGAGAGAAGATGCTAGTCAAACCCCAGACCTCGGGTCCCTTCCAGACTGAGCCTGACCTTGACTGGGGGGAGGCAGAAGGCAGCCTCTGTGTTTTAGGGGAGCTTAGAACCCTGTACTATAAAGACCCAAAAGGGTCAAAGGTCCATCTGATCCAACTCTCAGTTACATTGCAGCATAAGCACAACCTGGCCAGGTTTGAATCCTGGGGCCGATTCCTGCTTGCCTGGTATCATCTGGGCCTCCTTACTGATGTCCCTCAGCCTGTTTCCTCATCTGCACGGCAGCAGCTTCCTCGCAGGTGCAGCTGCTGTGGTGACTAGATGGGACGCTTTGCTGGGCAGTAGCAGCAGGAAGCCAGGCACCGAGCCAGCCAGGCTGAAGTCACACTGCCCCTGCCAACACAGCTTTCCTGGGAGAAACTGAGGCACAACAGTTACAGCTCAGTCACAGCTACAGAGTGACAATAGGGGAGGTGGGGGGGCGCGCTAGCCAGGCCCCTAACGTTGCCACCTGCTGCTGCCCAGAGGACTGCATGGAAGACCCTGCTCCCAGGTGCTGACTACGCAGGTAGTTGGTCATGGCTCTGGGAGCCAAGGGCACCTGCCCTGCTTGGCTCAGCTGCCCTTTATCAGTCACATGGGCAATACTCAGGAATGAACGCTGTCCTCACAGGCCACCTTTCTCCGCTGACGCTGACAGAGGACAATGTTATCTTTAAAGTCACTCAGAAGATTAGCTAAACAGGCAAGAGCAGCTTGAGACCCCAAAAGGGGCCCCTTTTCTTCCCTGAGCCAACTCTCAGGGGTCCCCAGCAGAGCCTGGGAGGTGTCCAGACTGCTCTGGGGCTACACAGGCCCCATCTTATCTCTGCAGACGGTATTTCCTGCACATATTAGGGGCCGTGGGGAAAGGGAAAGAATCAGGAGGGGCTGGTGGACAGGGTGGGAGTGGGAGCACGTGGGCTCAGCAATGCGACTGTGTGAGCAACCCACAGGACGTTCTATTTTCCAGGGAACAGACGACAGACTGCAGCAGTGCGCCACTGTCCAGCCCCGCCTTCGCCTTGGGCCTCTCTTTCTGGGAAGGAAACACCTGTTTTCTATGCTGCCAGCAAAGGGAGCCYAGAAGGTGCTGCCCTGCCCGGACTTCCTCTGCCGCACTGGGCCACAGGAGGCCTTCAGGAGACCAGCAGCAAGGTCTCCAAGAAGCCCGACCCTCCCGTGATCTCCTGGGGTGACCACCTGGAGTCCACATCCAGCAACTCCAGAGTGTCAAGTAATAGTCCTTCTTTCAATGATAAAACACCCAGCCTCAAATCCTAACTGGGTAACGTTCAGTAAGTCACATTTAAGTCAGGATCTCTGGAGTTATGGAGAGAAAGGAATGGTCTAGAAAATGGATTGAATCTCACTATTTCACAGTGACAGCCCTCCTCCAATCAGAGGGATGCAYTGGGGCTGGGGATGTAGCTCAGTTGGTAGAGTGCTTGCCTCGCATGCTCAAGGCCCTGGGTTCAATCCCCAGCACCAACAAAAAGCAGAGTGATACCCTGATCTTTCAGCACCACTCTTCTTCCCAGGGTGCAGTAAGGGTACCTTCTGTAGATCTGGGGGCTCTGGCTACAGAGACCCAGAGGCGCTTCATGTTTCACCTAGCAGACACAGGAGGCCCCACAAGGCAGGCATCTGTCTCCTGTTGGCTCTCTCCTCCATGTGTTGCCTGCACAGGCTACTTGAGGGCCAGAACTGCCTGGCACATAATGTCCTTCCTAACCCCATCAAAGCACATTGCCGGGCTGGAGATATAGCTCAGTTGGAGAGTGCTTCCTTGCATACATAAAGCCCCAGATTCAATGCCCAGCACCACACAAACACATCCAAAAAAAAAAAGAAAAAGAAAAAAAAAAGTTTGTCAAGTGACTAATTAGCTATGGAAACTCAATGAAAAATAAAAACATTGCCAAGAAGGCTGCAGGGGGTACATGCAACTTAGACCCTCTCTCAAATTGAAACTATAAAAGGGCTGGGGATGCACCTCAATGGTAGAGAGCTTGCTGGCAATCAAGAGATCCCGGGCGCCATCTCCAGTATCGCAGGGAAAAAAGAAAAGAGCAAAACAAAACCTATGGGCTGGGACGTAGCTCAGTGATACAGCATTTGCCTCGCATGTCCTAGAGAAAACAAGTCCAGACCACGCCTCTCTCCTCACAGGAAAGGAGCAGGGAAGGGGTGCATCCCAGGAGACAGAACCAGGGATTCAATGCACCAAGATGCCAAGTCCAAGCTGCTCAGCCTAAGCCCCGAGGACACAGGCTGAAGTGTCACAGACCACAGAGCAGGCAAATGTCATGGCACCAGGGAAACAGAAGCTACTGAATCCTTTTATTAGGTAACAGGAGCCAGGGGAGACCCACATCAGGCCCTAAAGCCACACCAACAATGGCATTCTAGAGGGATAGGCCTCTTTTGGTGAGTGGTTGTCCCTGTCCTACACTGTGTGCACACTGCCACACAGTAAGGCCCTCAGCCTACTCCTGAGGCCTCAAAGGCCAGGACACCTCAGCCCCGAGGCATGTTGTGAATGGACTCCTGCTGCAGTTCCTGCTCTTAAAGAGTAACTTATTCAAACTTGCCTTGCTCTGGCCAGTTACAGGGCRTTGGCTCATGAGGCATTTTCTTAAAATCAAGTTGGAACAATAAGAAGGAAGAAGATGGGCCCTGGCTACTTTAGAGGGGTCCCCAAATCTGCTCCCCTTAACTCCTAGAAGCATCACTCCCACCAGGGTTACAACCTAAAAGCAAAATGGGCAGCTTTCAAACCCRATTAGAGAGATGTTTCTTGCACGTCCGAGGCCAATCTAGTCTCAGCAACTTAGCAAGACCCTGCCTCAAAAAATTAAAAGGGCTGAGGGTGTAGCTTAGTGGTAAAGCTTCCCTGGGTTCAACCTTCAATTAAAGAAAAAAACGGACACAGTCTTAATGTGTCTGATGCAACGTCACACTGGCTGGGGCCTGCAAGGACAGAGGACAGGGCTTCACCCCTCAAAGCCACAGCAGATCCAAGCACCCCGAAGCCCAGGTGGCTGGCTTCACTTGCAGGCTCCCCACTGTGGGGCAGCCCGGAGGGCAAGGGGCACAGGGGAGCGGTGCAAGTTAATGATAAATCGGTCACTGGTCCTCAACCCTTCCTCATTTCATTTTCCCCTCTGCAGCTACAGATTTCCCCTCCAACCCCAGCCCGCCCTCATGGTCCTTCCAAAAGGCACTCACTCAGGCCCTATAGTGGGTGCCCACCTTTAGGGGCGGGCGACAGTGAGCAATGTGACCCAGGCCAGACGCATCCCGAACCAGGTCTTCAAATGAGCATGGCAAAACTCAGACAGGAGTTGACACAACTGGATCTAACCCTGGGCACGAAACCTGCCCCCTCACCCCACTACACCCCCGCCCCTTGCCCTTGCCCCCACCCCCGCACCTCAGGGCGGTTGCTGACTACACAAGCTAAGCAAATTTAAGCAAATTTTTATGAGCCCTAAGAAGTTCACTAGTTCTGCTAGTTTCTCTTTCGTCTGGCAGGCTCACAGTCCTGCTGGGCTTACTAGAACTCAGATGGCTCTAGGAGGCAAAACTTTGAAATGCTGATGGAAGCAAGTAAGCCCCGGGAGGCCAGTCAGCACTGCTAGCTGGGCCACCTTGCACAGGGGCAAATCACCCAGCCAGTTGTCCCTGCTACCCCACTGCATGGCCTGAGGCCCCAACTGCCCTGTCTCCAGCATGCTCCAAGGATTCAAAAGCAGCCAGTCACAGGGAATGGGCAGGGGCCTCACCTTGGCTGCTCCTGTCACTTGAGTACAGGGAGGCAGGGAAGAAAGCGGCAGCCTGGAGATAAGAGGCTAATGTGAAGCACCTATCCTTTAGACAATTTGTGTGTGTGTGTGTGTGTGTGTGTGTGTGTATGTGTGTGTGTGGTGCTGGGGATTGAACCCAGGGCCTTGTGCAAGCGAGGCAAGCGCTCTACCAACCGAGCTATATCTCCAGCCCTCCTTTAAATGTTTTTAAAAACCCTGCCAGACACCTACCTATAATCCCAGTGACTCGGGAGGCTGAGGCAAGAGGATCCCAAGTTCAAAGCCAACCTCAGCAATTTAGTGAGACCCTAAGCAACTTAGTGAGACCCTGTCTCGAAATAAAAAAACAAATAGGGCTGGGGATGCGGATCAGTGCTCAAATGCCCCTGGGTTCAATCCCTGATAGAAATAAAAGGAAAACGCTGGGGTGGAAGACACCTGAAGGAATCCCRGCAACTGGGCAACAGATATCAGCTGAGGTGGTCGAGGACACTGGCACCTGGCTGCAGCCTGGATCTGTTTACCTCTGCTGATTCGCTGCTTCTCTCCGGACAGGATCCCGGGAGTGTCAATGATGCTGATGCTGTCCAGGACCGGGTTGGGCAGCTGGGCACACATGAACCTGCAGAAGAGCAAGGCCAGAAAGCGCTGTCAAGGCAAGGCTGTTGATGCTCCAGATGCCACAGGGAGGGCGTTCTGGCCTCCGCTGTCTCCACGCTGGCTTCCTTCCCAGAAGCAAGGAACGTAAGGAGGTGTCCTATCATCTTACTTTCCAGAGGTGGCCAGCAAACTGGAAAAACTTTTTTTTTTGGTGTTGGGGCTGGAACATGGCCAAGGCCTTGCACAGGCTAAGCACGGACTCTACCCTGGAGCCATGCTCCCTGCCCCCACCAAGTGGACATACTTTCTCAACTGGAAATGTAACAGCAGGCTCCAAATGACCCACAGCAGTGTTTCTGTCACAGCTGCTCCCCGGCCACCGCCCCGAGTTCCAGAGTCCTACTTCCCAGTTGCTGACTTGTTAATGACAGCCGAGAGCCTAGGTTACCACTCAGTTCAGAAGGAAACAGACGCTTGACACGGGGACCTTGCCATTCCATATTACAATGTTCAACTATTTGGCTGGAGTCCCACAGAGTGAAGAGGGATGGTCTCTTCCCATTGCTGCTGGGCCAGCACTCCCCTTTCACCCAGCTGCCTGGATGAAGGGGCGGCAGTGGGCTGCCAGTAAAGACTGGGGGAGCACGCAGGCTGGCTGACAGCGGGGAGGTCAGCAGACACATCATGCTCTGAGTCAAAGTGGGCACAGTCACCACAGGCTGGAGACTCCTTGGGGGARGGATTAGCTACCCAATTTCCACACTGGGCTTAGAACTACCCAGAAGAACAAAGGTGATCTCAACTGATAGCAGGATTCTTTACAGAAAAGAATCCTTTAAGAACTTTCTAAAGGGACTAAGGATATAGCTCAGTTGGTAGAGTGCTTGCCTCACATGCACAAGGCCCTGGGTTCAATCCCCAGCACCAAAAARACCCACCTCTCTGAAGACCCAAACACAGCAGYGCAYGCCCATAGTTYCTGCMGAGGCTGAGGCAGGAARGACCATGATTTTGAGGCCAGCATGGGCAATRCAGCAAGACCCCATCTCAAAATAAAAAGGGCTGGGGATGTAGCTCAGTGTATAGCACCCTTGGATTCAATCCTTAGCACCATAAACAAAACCAAACCTCTCTAAGAAAGTACTGTGAGCAAAGGAAATCCTATTGTCCAGCAGGACACAGGCACAGAGCTGCCCTCCCAACAGTGAGGAGGATTCAGGACTGATCAGCTCCTCCTTGTGGCCCCATCACCCTGGTGGTCCACAGGCCAGCAAGAGGTGCATCTGTGAGTGCAACCAAGTGCAACCAAGCCAAACCAGCTGACCCCCAAGGTGAGAAAACCTCAGACTTCACCCCTCCAAGGCCAGCATGGAGCACGAGTGCCCTTCTGCACGTCCATCCTGGGTTTCTGCTCAGGAAGGGGCTCTCTGAAAGGGCTGACAGAAGAAAAGGTGTGAAAGGAGGTCTGCCTTTGAGAAGCACCAYGTAACATACACAAAAAAGCCCTTACAGGGGCCTGGTGAGTGAAGGCGCATTTGTAGGACTCAGGAAGAAGCTGCTCTGCTGCACCCGGGAGCGTGGTGGAGAACAAGAAAGGCAGGTGGCAGGAAAGAGGCTGGGTCCTACCCAGGAGACAGACTGGTCTCCCTGTACAAGTGGGCAGCCTGGTTATGCAACAGGTTTTAACCAGTCACTCTGAGGTCTCCCTGATTGTACCCTGTCTCAGTCTGCTCCATCTCTATCTGATTGTATTCTTAGAGCAGACACTCAGAAGGAAAAGGCCGGAAAGTCAAGTTCATGACTCAATGGGTCCCTTTAAGAGTGCTGGGAGAGGCTGTAATAGCCACAGAAAAGCCCCTTTTGTTGTACCCTCCCTGGCGGGCGGCACCCTGTATACCACACATCCTGACACAGCTTGGGCCTTGGTTGTAATCGATAAGGCCCCCTTGGTAGACCCCCGGCACTCAGGGACCCTCTGGAGATGAGGCAGTGGCAAAGCAGCATTAAGTGTGGATCTTGGGTCTAGTGTCACCCACACCATCAAAATGCCTATCTGACCAAAACTCCTAAGCTGTTCCTTTTTCAGGCAGAAGCATTAGTGACCACAGGTTTGTCTTAATGAGTGAACTCGAGAAATCAGCTAGGCAGTCTGAGCCTCAGTCTCCTAAATTAGTGAGGCAGGGGCTGCTGGGGTGGCATCCAGGATCCTTCCAGCTCTGAAAACTCTAGGTTTCTGAAGGCAGAAAACAGATAACATGCTGGGTTTCTCCTTTTAAAAAAGCTCTACCCTCATGATTGAATCAAGTGAAGACTGGAGGACAATGACCCACCCTGTCATTCCCAAAAGTTCTGCCTGGAAGCAGAAATCTAATGAGTAGATAACTTTCCAGTACAGCAGCCAAACTTTCCACAAGAACAAATGGCTCCCACCAGCTAAGGTCTGAGCCAAGTGCCTATCTACAGGCATGATAAAATGTAAGCATCCTTGAAAAAGGGGCCAGGCTAAGGGGACCAGCCCTTCAAGAGCCTGAGCCCAAAGGGCTTCACTCAACCTGGCCCTGCCAACACCATGAGCATAGAATGGGAGCACAGGATTAAATGCCTGAAAGAAGCAAAAAGACACCAAAGGTCAGCTCAGGCAGGGAGGCGGGCCTGGTCAGGGCCTGGGCTCTGGAGCAAGCCAGCCTGCCCTGTGTGGCCACAGCATCTGGGCAGGAATGTAATCACACAGGGCGGAGACCTGGAAGGCAGGATTGAGATTCTTTCCTAGGCTCTTCCCCTGACACAGACTTCAGCTATTCAAAGGCTTGGAGTCTCTTTGAAAGAGAAAAGGGAAGGGTCTGTGAAGTCTGGAGGTTTGTTCCCCTGGGGCCTAGGGATGCCTTGAATTCCTTTAGAGAAAAGTGTGACACTCCTTAGAGAGGAGACCACTGTTTTACTATAGCGTTGTATGGGTCAGGATCTTGGATGATCACTCTTATTATAAGGGGGCAGTTCTCACCCATTTAACCAGGGAAACTGAGTCCAAGTAGGCTAAGGAACATCCTAACACATCTAAAGTGGGACTTAGGGCCCAAATCTCATTTCAGGGTTCCTAGCGCCACCACCTCCTGAAGCCTCTCAAGGCAGCAATGACCCATTAAGAGCTACCTCTGGGAGAAGTATTCAGAGTCCATCTGTCCCCTTCCTTCAAAGGGCTGCCACAAAGTCAGAAGGCCACAGAGGATCCTTCTTGTCCCTCCTACACAAAGCCAATGGTCCCAGGGGAGGCAGAACAGAGAGAGACACACCACACCAGCAAATGAAATGGCCAAAAGCCTTATTGGGTTTTTCTAGGACACTTAAGAAACATCTCAGCCTAGCATGGTGGCTCAGGCCTGTAATTCCAGCAACTCAGGAGGATAAGGCAGGAGGATTTCAAATTTGAGGCCAGCCTCAGAACTCAGTGAGACTCTCAACAACTTAAGAGAGATCCTGTGTCAAAAAGGACTGGGATGTAGCTCGGTGGTAAAGCACCCCAGCACAGCAGCCCAGGGGGACACAGATACACACACATACACACACACAAACACACACACACACACACACACACACACACACACCCCACATGATTTAAAACAAAAATCTCAGAGCAGGGAGAGACTGATTTGAATGACTTGGATGCGTCCAGTCTGGGGAAGAAGGTGGAAACCAAGAAAGAGAGGACAGCAATAACTCATCTTTCTAACCCGAACCCTCGCATTGCTCGAAGTTGGGCTGGGGTCTGCAGGAGGGTTTGGGAGTTAAACTGATAATCTGGAAGATTCTGGGGGCGACAGAAGACGTAGTAGTCCGAAATGCCCACTCCCAGACCTCCAGATGTGATTGGATGTTTTTCCGTGGGACTCCTGTCCCTGGGAGTGGTCGTTCAGGGTCTGGTCGGGGCCTCAGAGACAAAGGATAGCGAGGACGAGGGCCGTGAGAGGCCCAGGTCGCCCCTCGAGCCCCCGGGGCAAGGGAAGGATACCTGTTGAGGAAGGCGTTGCCGAAGGCGTTGAGCTTGCGGAAGGGGCGCCGTGGGTCAACGACGAGCGCGTTGCCGGGCACCACGCCCTCGGTGGGGCCGTGCATGACCGCGATAAAAGAGTCGGTGGTGGGCTCGGGCCCGATGCGCATCCCCGGGAAGTCCTGCTCGATCAAGTGCCGGATGAAGGTGGTCTTGCCCGTGCTGTACTGGCCCACGAGGAGCACCATGGGCTTGTTGTCGAAGTCAGCATCCTCCAGCGCGGGCGAGTGGAACTCGTGGAAGCGGTAGTGCTCTTCCAGGGGCAGCAGCTTCTGTGCGTACAGCTGCCGCAGCCCCTCCGCAACTGTCTGGAAGAGCTCCGGCTCCTTCTTGCGGCGGGCATCCTTGCTGACCCAGCTGAACATGCTGCGGGGAACGGGGCTGGCTGCTGCGGGGTAGACGGGCAGCTGAGAGCGGGGCGAGAGCGCACCGCCGAGGAGGGGCCGGCCGGCCGGCGGAGAGAGGCGGGCGGCGGCCGGGGGACAGGGGGCGGGGAGCGGCGCGCACTGCGCAGGCGCACGGCACGGCTCACTGAGGCGCCCTCTGCCGAGTGGAGCGCGCGCCTCGCCGAGCGTCCTTTATAGGGTCGAGCGCCGCGATCCGGCGCGCCCCGCCGCCCGAGGGCCGGCGGGGAGGGAGAGGCAGAGGGAGGAATCTCTCCGGACCCCGCCCCCAGCTGCGTGCCACGTCCTCCCCTCCCCCGCCTTCCATTGGCTGATTTCAAATATCGCGAGCCCTGGGCCGGGGCGCCGTGGCAACTGCACCTGTTTCGCCCCGCCCTTCGTGCGCGGACTACGGAAGTGCTGTGGTTGGGAAAGCCCGAGTCCGCAGCTMGGTGGTCCCGGGCCGCGAGCCTTTCAGCGCGGATGACACCCCCACGCCCAGCCGGAGGGTTGCAGCCAGGCACCCCACTCGCTCTGTCTCCCGCGAGCCGTTCTCCCACTGGCTCAGTATCCCCAGAGGCCTTGGCGGACCCCGGGATCCCTGGCGCCTCCGCATCTCGTCCGCTTCCCCAACACCTCCCTCTCTTCCCCACATCTTTCATCTGCCCCGTGGAGGGAGAGATGGGAAAGCGATGGTAGCAGCCGAGGGAGCAGAGAATCCATCCGGGGCGGGGGGTGATTCGGGATGGAGAAGGGGTCCGTTGGGGAAAGTCCGACCGACCRTAAAAGGCCTGGCCTCCCCTCAAGCCTGCGGGGCTGGATTGGGAGATGCGCCCAGCAGTGGAGGACATGAACGACGTGACCCGCCGGGAGAAGACAAGGCCTCTCCAAAGAGGCTACAACTGGCAGGGCGGAAGGGGGCGAGGAGGAAGTCGAAGCTCTCTGGCCACTTGGGTTTTGAGGAAGCGAAATCGGAAATTCCCTATGTGGGGCAACAATGAAATCTTGTGGGAACTTAGGGGGAATTTAAAGACCCAAATACTTCCGCTTTCACGTTAGGAACACCACCAGTAACCCCGACCTATGCCCCATCATCTTACCGGTTCCTGGCTGTTCCATTGGGTTCATGCCCCCGCCATCATCCCTGGCCACAGCGGGACCCTCTTGGCTGTCCAGGCTGGTAAGAAGCTTCAGTGGGTGATGTCAGAGCTTTGGGGACTGTGATTGTTATGTAACCAGTATCAGGACACCTGAGTGTGGGAGGGAGACCTGGGAGCTGTTGGAAGTCTAAAGTAAGCCAGAGAACTGGTGGTGGCACCTGCCTGTAGTTCAGCTGCTGGAGGGCTGAGGTGGAAGAATCTCTTGAGCCCACAAGATGAAGACTGGCCTGGCCATCAACAGCCACCAAAATAATAATAACAAAGTTATGGGGCTGGAGGTGTAGCTCAGTGATAGTGTGCCCACTTAGCATGCAGAAGGCTCTGGGTTTGAAGCCCAGACCATTAAAAAAAAAAAAAAAAAAAAAGCCAGGGATGATGGTGGAACATCTGTAATCCTAGCAATTTGGGAAGCTGAGGTAGGAGGATGGTAAATTGGAGACTAGCTGGGTCAATTTACCAAGACCCTGTCTCAAAAAGGGGTGGGGGGCTCTGTAGTGCTCACCTGTAATCTCAGCAGCTCTGGAGGCTGAGGCAGGAAAATGGTGAGTTCAAGGCCAGCCTAAGTAAATTAGTGAGGCCCTGTCTCTAAATTAAAAAAAAAGGGGGGGGGTAGGAATGTGGTTCAGTGGTTAAGCCCCTGGGTTCAATCCCCAGTACAAAAATAAAAGGGCCCGTAATGTAAACTCTGATAGAACACTTGCCTGCTTATGAGATCCTGGGTTCAACCTCTAGTACCACAAAATATTAATAGTAATAAAATAAACTTTAAAATGAGCCAGGCTGGGCATGATGGTGTATGCTGTAATCCCAGTAACTAGGGAGGCAGAGGCAGGAGAATTGTAAGTTCAAAGCCAGCTTCAGCAACTTAGCAGATCCTATCTAAAAAAAAAAAAAAAGATGGGGATGTGGCTCTGTAATTAAGCATCCCTAGGTTTGATCCTCAGGACCAAAAAATAAAATAGAAAATAAAATGAGTTGGAGGCTCAGTGGTAGTTGTGGAGTTGTGGCTCAGTGGTAAGAGTGCTCACCTAGCACAGGTGAGACACTGGGTTCAATACTCAGCACCACATAAAAATAAATACATAAAAATAAAGGCATTGTGACCACCTACAACCAAAAAATATTTTAAAAATAAATGAGTCAGGCACAGTAGTACACACCTCTAATCCCAGTTACTCTAAGTCTGAAGCAAGAGGATCATAAGTGTGAGGCCAGTCTGGGCGATTTAGACCATGTGTCAAAAAACAAGGGGGAGATGGGGATAGAAGGGTTGGGGATGTCGTTCAGTGGCAACACACCCCTGGGTTCAATCCCCAGTCTAAATAATGCATGCATAACCTGGGAACATGAAAGACTCCTGACTCCTGAGAGATGGGGAAATCTGGAGGACTGGGCTCCTGTATCAGGGAAGCAAGCCGACTGGCAAGCAGAAAGAACAGGCAGGAGGTCAAATCTGAGAACAGGCAATGTATATATTGGGGGATCTCAATTAGGTGGGATCCAAAGAGGACAAGATGGGAAGTTTGGGCCTCTCTACTTTCTGAGGGAATATTTATTGCTTTCCCCTCTCATTCCTAACCCATTGRAGAGAATGTGTTATTCCAGTCCTGCCTGTTGTCCTGCCCATTGTCCTGCGCCCTGACTTACTGCCTTCATTGGGAATTCTATTAGCATTCTTTCCATCTATCACAGTAAGAACCCAGAAGACTTTTTTTGCAGGATATGAAGGTGTTTTCAAGAGGATGTTGATGCTCCTGGGTTCAGGGGGATGTCATCAGACACTGTGCCAGCTTGTGACCAGGATCCTCCAGCAGGCCCAGTCCAGACTTCCTGTGTCAGCCTTGGAAACCAAAGGATTTGCCTCCTACACAGCAGTGATGAGGGGTCCACCCCGGAGATGTAATTTCTGGGCTGATCCAGGGGAAGGCCTGAGGCAGAGGATCCTAAATGACTTGGTTGTTCAGTGGCATGAATAACTATGGGGAGCTCAGTCTCTRGCTCACTTACATTGACCTGCCATGGTTCTCCCATCTCCCCAGGGCCCTGTGTACTGGGAAAACCCAGCCCCAGAAAATTGAGAACAAAATGTTCCTGGGTTATTTATAAATGAAACCCAGACCCTGTTGTTCTATGTGTCCACTCAACTTTCTCCAAGGAGCTCAAAGGACTGGAAGAAGGAAGCTCCCTCCTTCTGTCATGAGGCTCGGTTACCCCAAGTTCCCTGAGTTGGTGCCCAGATCCTGGGCAGCTTMCTTATCTTGTGATGTCTCAAATTGTGAAAATATCCTGATATTACTTCTTTTGTCTTTTTTGAATAGGGCACTTTTGTTCAGTGGGAAAGTTTTAGGAAATTTGAATGAGCCATTTTACTTTTGGTTTCTCTCTTTCACTTTCTGCTTGTCTGCCTGGGACCAGGGCAGACTGCGGAGGGTTCAAATATTTCCTTTTGGGCTGGGGTTGTGGCTCAGTGGTAGAGCACTTGCCTAGCACGTGTGGCACTGGGTTCATTCCCCAGCACCACATTAAAAAACTAAACAAAGTTATTATGTCCATCTACAATTTAAAATATTTCTTAAAAATTTTCCTTTTATTTCAGAAACCATGCCCACCCACCCACTCCCGCTCAGTAATTTCCTCTTTGTTTCACAAACACACACCTGCAACCTGGAACTATTGRGTCTGCTCAGAGGCTGCCCTACACCAGCAGAAAAAGGTCTCCTACTGCCTTGCCCTCCCTCAAAGCAGTCTGCTCTGTCCCCTAGCAGCTTGGTCTAGAGAAATGTCTACATGTCCCTAAAGACAGCTTTAAAAAAAGGCGGGGGGCGGGGTTGTTTTTTTTTTCTCTCCAAATATGGCAGAAGAATTAGGCTGGGAAAAGCCCAAAACTAAGATTTCTCCCTCAAATGAGAAGTGGTTCATTATTTCCACTGAGAAAGTTTGCATATAAGTGTAGATTATTTGCTCTTACAATCAAGAAGAGATTTGGCCTGCAGATCAGTTTTGCCAAACCAAGGTAAAACAGGTTTGCCAAACCCGCAGTGGTCTGTCCTTTTGCATGGCAGGATCTTTAGCCCTGGCCACAAGGGCATCCTTTGCACACCATGAGRCCCCTTTCTTGCAGCAGCTGTGTGACCTTGGCCTGTGCTCTGGGGAGAGCTGCTGGGCTCCAGAGGCCTCTGCAGACATCTGGCAGTCCGGACATGGCTAGGCTCAGAGATGACAGTAGTAGGATCTCATCTACTTTCAAATCCCAGTGAGAAAAAGCCTGAGGCCCTGTGRTATTCAGTGACTTGCTTGTAGCGTCCCAGGCTGAGCGAGATGCTGGGCTTTTGGAATCTGAACACGTCTCTTTTCACACTCTGACCATTGGAAGCTGCCAGATCCGGCAGGTGGAAAAGCAGCCAGAGCATCAGAACCTCTTTCCCAGGCACAGGCTGAAGCGAACTCTG